GGGGGCTGGGAGCTGGGCCAGGGCAGCTGTTGGGCTTGAGGGGCCCCTGCATCTCTGGGGTGCCCGGCTTGGGCAGGTGACTTCGTAGCTGGGGCTCCCAGTCAGGCAGGGGCAGGCCGCACCCTGGCACACACACGCGTGTGCGCTGACACGCGTGCCGTGCACGCCTCCCCGGGAGCGGCTGCATCACAGCGGGGCAGGGCAGAGTCCCCATCTGTCACACGGGGCCGCTGCGCGGCCGCTGCAGAGGTCCCCAGGACGTGGTCGGTGCTGGACAAGCGGGTCGGAGCCACACAGGGGTGCCTGCCAGGCCCCAGGACTCTTCCTCAGAGAAAAGAGGGGCGAGGGGAGGGTGCCCCGCGCGCCCAGGGGACTCTGCACAGAGCCTTGAGCAGGGAGACCGGGGGGGGGGGCTGGACGGGCAGGGGCCGAGGAGGTGCTGCGGACACTGGCCCTGGCCGGCAGGGCACCAGGCCCAAGGTGGGCCGGCTCTGAGCAGCTCTGGGCCAAAGGCCTCCCAGGACCAGGGCACCCGAGGCCAAAGCGCCGGCCCCGAGGTCGACCTGGCCCCCCGCCCAGCGTGGCCCTGGCTGAGGGGCAGGAAGGCCCCAGCCGGCTCCGGAGCCCGCGCCAGAGGCTGTCCTGGGAGGGGCTGGGGAAGGGCCCGCTGCGGAGTCTCCCTGGCAGCGCGGGAAGGAGTGAGGCCTTGGGGGTCTTTGTCAGCCGCCCCATTTATGTACCCCCAAGGCAGGCCTGGGACATAAAAGTTCCCCAGACTTCAGATCAGCAGTGTTTCTGCAGCCGCTGGTACTGACCGTGTGGGCCGTGGGCACTGGGCGCCCTGCCCTGGGATGAGTGGGGTAGGCTGTCCCAGGAGGCGGGGCTGAGGGGCCTCGGAAAGAGCTAGAAGGGATGCCCAGCCGGCAGCAGGACAAGGGCCCTGGGCAGGAGGAGGGGCAGGGTGGCCGCAGGGCACCAGGGCAGCCAGGCCTCTGAGGCTACAGAGGTTGGTGGGGGCTTCGCCCAGAGCTGGCACAGTCCATCAGAGCTTAGCAGTCGTTCAGTCTGGGGGCTGGGGGAGGGCCAGGCTAGGGCTGGGGGCTGGGGGCTTGGGCTGGATGTGGGCTGGGCTTGGGCTGCCAGGCGGAGCAGGAGCTGGCTCTGCAGTGAACAGGAGAGCCTGGCCAGCAGGGAAGCTGCAGGGCTGGCCGGCCAGGCGGCTGGCAGGCAGGCTGTCTGGGCTCTGGGTGGGGAGGGGTTAACCTGCAGCGGGAGGCAGCAAGTGTGAGCCCGCAGAGGGGACTCGGGGACAAAGTCGCCAAGATGAGGAGCCGCCTGCGGCTCTGAAGGATGACAGGCGCCTTGGCTTTGCTGGAGCGTGACTGTCGGCTGGATCCCAGCAGGCTGGATCCGGGCAGGGGTGCCCAGGGGAGGCCAAGGTGCGGGGGGCGTGTCCCAGGGACGGAGCAGCCCTGGCCTGAGCCTGGGGGCTGGAGGGCAGGGGCTCCCCAGGCCCCCGCAACCCCACTGCGACCACATTCAGTGCCCCTGTAACCTTGTCAGCACCACAGGATGCTCCTGGGGACCCAGAGCTCACGTGCTCCCCTGCACCCAGCGCAGGGGCCCCAGCCCCCACGGGCCAAGGGGGGCACAGGGCCAGCCAGGGCCAGGCCCTATGGGACTGTCACCAGGAAAGGCTTTGGGGGAGAAGTGGGGCTTAAGTGGGGTCTGCAAGGGAGGAGGGGGTGGGGCCAAGGGAGGGGCGCTCCGCCCTGGGGGCAGCGGGGAGAAGGGCCTGGCTGTGGCCAGAGCCAGGAGGAGCTGGCTGTCCCTCCCAGCAGGGCCTGGGGCAGGGCAAGGCTGGCCTGAGGGTGTAGCCGCTCCGCTGGGGGCAGGGAGGCGCAGGCTGCTGTGACCCCTCCCTCCCTGGCCGAGGTCAGAGGGCAGCCAGGGGAGGCCACGGGGGTGATGGCCCCCAGGGCCCCCAACCAGTCCTTAAGCTCCTCAGAGCCCACCTGGCTGGTCCCCCACTCCCCGAGCACAGCCCCCCGCCGGGGTAGGGCAGACCTCGGCTCACACCCCTCCCTCCTCCATAGGCCCAGGCTGCCTCAACAGCCCACCCCACTGGCCGCCCTCATGGGGCGCAGCTGTGTCCCACGTGAGGACACCCATGTCCCGTCCAGGCGGGCGCCGGGATCACGCAGGCACCCGGTCCAGCATCTGCCCAGTGCCCACCTGGCCCTCTGCGGCAAGAGCAGGAAGGCCCCTTGGTGCGCAGGCGCGGTGACCCCGTCCGGCCAGGCCAGGCCAGGCCAGGCCAGGCCGCCCTCTCAGCGCCCGCGGGCGTGTCTGCGGCACTTACCCTCGGCGCTCTGGCTGGGCCGGAGCCCTCCTCCTATAGCGGGGCGGGGCACTCCACCGCAGCCTGCTACCGAGCACCCCGACTCCCCGTTGCTCTGGTGGGGTGCGCTGGGGCGGCGGCCGCAGGAGGGACCATCCGTCTCGTTCTCACCGCGTCCTCACCCGGCCCGCATGGGCTTGCTGTGTGATCTTGGGAGAGTTGCTTGACCTCTCTGGGCCGGGGTCTTCTCTCCAGATGGGAGGTGCTTTCCACCTGAGATGTGCTTCAGGGTAAGAATGGGCTGTCTGCCTCGCCCCCCTCGGTGCTCCCGGCAGCCCCCCTTCCCCTGGAGTCTCCCTCCCGCTCTGAGCTCCCCTGGGCTTCTGAAAACTCTCCTGCCATGAGACCCTGTGGAAAGGCCGCTGAGGGGAGCTGGGGGGGGACCCCCGGGAACCGCGGCCTAGTCCGGCCACCCGGGTCCCCGCCCAGGGGCCCAGAACTGGAACCCAAGCTCCCATCTCTCCAGAGCCCAGGCCACCGGCCCTCCCCCTGCTGTGGTTGGACGGGGGCACCCACTGTGCTGTGCGGAGAAGAGGGGGCTCAGGAAGAGGGACGGCGGCCCGGCGCCAGCATCCCGCCGTCAGATCTGCACTTTCGGTCTTTCTTGGTTTGGGGGCCAAAGTTTGACTGTTCGTAAATTTTTCCCTGATTTTTCATGTTCGCTGTAGGAAATGGGACGACCCAGAAAAGTATAAAAGAATAACTCCTAGTGGCCAGGAGCCACCGCAGCTGCGCAGTCGCGCCCCCCCACCCCCCGCCCTGGTCTGCACCGCGCAGCAGCGCTGGGGGCGCCCCTCCGCCTTGCGGTGTCTCACCCCCTGGAAGCCGGTTTCTGGGGCAACAGCCCCTCCAGATCCAGCTTGGCTGGGGGCCAGCGGGCGGCCCCTGCAGCGTTCAGGCGGGTCACAGCCCCGTCTGGGCCCAGGCTGAGAGCATCTCCCTGGCCACCGGCAGGGCAGCGCCCAGGGCCTACCCAGGGCCCAGCCCGCCCCGCCCCGCCCCGCCCCTCCCACTGCTGGGCCCCAGGCAGGGTCGGGCGAGCAGAGCCCAGGTAGGGGTGAAGTGGGCCTGCCCCAGAACCCCCAAGCCATGCACACAGCCCCTCACAGTGCCCCACACAGGCGAGCCAGGCTCCGTCCCCCATCCTGGCTGCCCCTAGGATCCCTGACCAGGAAGGAGCAGTGGACAGACAGGAGCTCACAGCTGGGGAGCTGAGCCTGCGCCCCACGCCACCCCTCAGGCCACGCGGCAGCTCACAGTGGACAGGGCAGGGCGCAGGCGAAGCTGCCACTGGTGGGACTCGGTGCCACCGCCAGGCGGGCCCTGCCACGCTGCCCACAGGGCATGCCGGGTGGACGGGCGCCGCCCCTGAGCAGCTCTGTCCTCTTCACGCAGGCTGCGCAGCCCCTGGGTGCCCTCCTGCCTCGGGCAGCCCCGCGTCCTGCAGGGCCGGCTGGCCAGGTCCTCACCCTCGCTCTGGGACAGGTAACACGCCTGTGTCTGCCCAGCCCCGTGGTGTCTGTGCGTCTGTCCCCAGACGTTCGTCCCGTGTCTGCGTCCACTGCCCCTGGACCGAGGGGGCAGCGTCCCGCCCACTGGCGTCGCCGTCTGTCTGGTGCCGCACGCCCTCAGAGCCGGGGCTCGTGCCCCCCCGCAGCACAGCCTGGGGGGCCACAGGCAGAGTTGTTGTGGGGAGCAGGCGCCCACTCTGGGGGAGGCAGGCACCCCCCACCCCGTCAGGCCGGGCTCAGTTCTGGTTCCAACATCGGGGAACCTCTGCCCAGGGAGGAGGTGACCCCAACCCGGAGGGGCCGAGGACTTCCGCGCCTCCGTGGGTATCTGCTGAGGGGCTGGTCCAGCCCCGCGCCCCTGAACCAGCCCCCACCTGGGAGGAGGCCCAGGCGCTGGCCCGGCCCTTCCCAGATGCCCTGCCAGAGCCCCCACGTGCCTGCCGGTGCCATCTCTCTGCCCCCTGCCTGTAACCATGCTGGGAGGCTGTGTGGGCCCCGACGGCCCTGCTGCCCGGACGGTGAGTGCTCGGCAGTGAGCAACCCCCATTTTGCAGGCTGAGGCAGCAGTGCCACCCAGGTGACCGCACACCCAGGGCCCCCGCACCACCGGAGAAGGGGAGCCCCGAAGCGTCAGAGAAGTTGAACCCCAGCATTGGTGCTGGGGGAGGGGCAAGGAGGGGCCCCCCGGGCCTCCCCAATCCGACCGGACGGAGGGGTGCGGAGGGCCGTGTGGGCGGCACTGGTTGCCCATGGTGGGGGGGGCCCCTCCTGGGAGGCCTGGCCGAGGCTGGTGTGTGTGGGGTGGGGGAGGCGCAGAGCAAGCCAGCCGGGGGCAGTCGGGGTCTGCAGGGCTGAAGGGACAGACGCGGAAAGCCAGCGGGACTCCAGGGGCGGACCTGGACGTCTGCTGTCAGAGGACCTGAGGCAGGGCCACGCAAGAGGATGGGGCAAGGGGGTGGGCGGGAGTGGGGCCGAGGGTTGCAGCCGGCCGAGGACCGGCCCAGAGCAGCTGGGTACAGGGGACTCAGGGAAGGGGGCTATCCGAGGCCGGGTGGGCAGAGCCACCCTCTCGAGGCCAAGGGTAAACTGAGGCGTGGGCAGGCTGGTTCTCTGGAGCTGGCCGCCCAGGGAGGGTGGCCTGGCCCCAGCTGCCCGGCATCCTCTTCTGCCCGTCAAGCACGTCCCCTTGTGCCTGGTCCCCTCGAGACTGCAGGCTCTGGGGAGCGGGGACCAGCCCTGCTTGTCGCCAGGTGAGGTGCCGAGAACGGGGTGTGAGGTTGGGGAGGAGAGGGTGACCCGTGCGTGTGTCGCAGGAGGAGGAGGCTGGGCCACGTGGACGGCCTGGGTGATGCCAGGGTCCGAGCGGGGCGTCAGGCCGCTGGCTTGGGCAAGGGAGGGAAGGACACTAGCTCTGAGAGGCAGCGGGGGTGGGGGATACCCGCTGGACAGTGGGTCCCCAGGGTGGGGCAGGACTGGGATGAAGGGGCACGGTGAGCTGGGATGAGAGGCCTCAGCTGGCGCGTGGAAGCCCAGGGGTGCAGCTGGGTGGGGGCTTGGCGCGTGGCCCACAGGTGGACAGGCGAGTCCTCACCTCTTCCTGAGTGTAGTGTGCAGTCTCCGGCTGTGGCCCTCTACGCAACACGGTGCCTGTGGTGGAAGCACCCCAGGAAGCTTGTGACCCCACTAGGGAAAAAAGGTTGGGCTGAGCGCAGTGGAAGCTGATGCCAAGGTGAAATCAGGAGGGCTGCCTGGAGAAGGGCCCCTCCCTGCTTATCATTCGCCTCCTCCATGGTCTGGAGGCCAACTCTGGAGAACAACCTGCCTCACCCTTCTCTGAGGTTCTCAAAATATAAGTGACTCTTTATTTCTTAAAAAAATACAGATCGGGGCAGGAGTCCAAAATGCTTGAGGTTTGCCGGGTGAGCACCCGAGCGTGGTAGCAGGCCCAGCCGGGGTGGGGGGAAGCCTCTTCCTGCCCCTGCGCCTCTCCCTTGGGCCAGGGAGGCCCCACAGCACCGCGGCTGAATCACTGCTCCCAGGACCTTCTGCACCCGGGTTCCAGTGTGGCACCCTAGGACTCCCCTGGCCCCTGCGTCTCCAGGCCCCATAGCAAACCCGCCAGAAGTCGCCGTGCATGGTAGCACCGGCTGGATGGCCCCAGGGCCCACGCTCTGGCCAGGACCCTTCCACCCGGGGCACTTCTCTGGGTAGAATTCTCAGGCCGAGGGCTCTGCATCCACTAGCCACGGTGACCCAGGGACAGGCCAAGGCTCGGTAGCCAGTGGCCAGTGTGGGGTGCATGGCGGGGGTGGGCCCCAGGCCGCGGGACAGCAGAGCCCCGTGCCGCCGCAGGGCAGGGCCATCCGCTGGGGAGAGGGCGCACCGGCAGCGTGTCTGGGCTCCACCTGTGGCCGTGCCCAGATCACTCTGGCACCCACACCCCCACAGCAGGTCCTTCCCCGGGGCCCCGCTGTTACAGATGGGGGCTCCCGCCAGCACCCGCTGCTGCGTCTGAGAGCTCAGCAGTAATAGGAAACACGAGCCCGCGTCTGCCCGTCTGGGTGGCTGCCCACGTGCGCTGCCCCTGCGGGGTCCCAGGAGCCCCCGGGGCCGCCTCTTCCCCTCCTGTGTGTCCAGCTGCAGTTGGCGGCCACCGGCCCAGAAGGGTGGGTCATCCCGTGTCTGTTTACTGCTCCTGGGACCCCAGAGTCCCCGCCGTTTGTGGGAGAAGCAGCCTGAGAGCTGGGGCTCTGTTAGGAAGGCAGGCGGCTTGGAGAAGGGGAACGTGGCCGGAGTGGGGGGTGCTGCGCCTCCAAAGCTGAGTGCAGCTGGCGGGGCCTAGGGGTCACTGCTGCCCACCCTCTCTGCCTGGTCTGAGGTCACTCAGCCGGCCTGGGGAGGCAGCCTGCTGCCCCTGGGCCTCGGCGCCCCACCCGGCAATGTGGAGAAGCAAAGGTGTGCGATCCGGAGGTGGGCTTAAAGTTCTGGGGAACACATTGTCCCTCTGTCGCAGTGACGTCAGGATTCACTTCCGACCAGGGCGCTGTGGGCGGAGGGACAGCAGGGGCTGACCCCAGAGGGGCTGTGAGCCTCGGGTGTGACGCGGGGGAGGGCACGAGTGTGTGTGCACTCGCGTGTTAGTGTGGCCGGGCACACGCGCGCCCCTGCGACGCCCCCGGCAGGTTGCGGGCCTCAGTTTCCCCGCGCTTAGCGCTGCGGGCCGGCCGCCGCCGCCTGTCGTTGCAGCGCGCTGCAGGAGCAGAAGGGCGAGCTGCGCAAGCGGCTGTCCTACACCACGCACAAGCTGGAGAAGCTGGAGACCGAGTTCGACTCCACGCGCCATTACCTGGAGATCGAGCTGCGGCGCGCGCAGGAGGAGCTGGAGAAGGTCACCGAGAAGCTGCGCAGGTGAGGGGTGGGGCCTGGAGGGGGGCGGGGCCTGAAGAGACGGGGCGGGGCCACTGTCTGAGTCCTTGCGCCATTACCCTGTGGCCAGACACTCACACTCAGTTCAGCCGCCTCAGCGCCCGCGGCTCCCAGTT